TCCAAGCACAAAATATCATTTAAAGAAATGGAATTCCCGAATCCGACACAGAATAAGTAGTTAATGAAAAATTCCGTGCTTTTTTCATTCTATCCGAATTTATAGTTGCGTTAAAAATATGAAATGGTTCAAATATTTACAAAATATATTTTATTATTTACTGTGAAATTTTTCCGCCCTCTAAAAAGTGCCACGTGGGGAGGAGTGCCCTCCCTGTCCCCCATCACTACACCACTGCAATTTGATGTCGTGTTCACTGACTTTGTTAAAGCTTTTAACTCGGTTATCTATAGCCGTATTATCTCCAAACTAGAATCACTTGGTATTGGAAATCCACTACTATCTTGGCTCCAATCTTATCTTAGTCCAAGAATGCAATTTGTGAAAATTCATGGTGTTATTTCTGACTCGTCTATAACTCCCTCAGGAGTCCCCCAAGGTGGACATTTTAGTCCTCTTCTGTTCGTCATTTTGACTAACTCAATTAACAGCTACCTTTCATTTTCCAAAGTCTTTCTATTTGTCGATGACATTAAAATTTATTCTAAAGTTACATCCATCTGCGACTGCCGTTAGCTTCAGTCTGATCTCGACTCTTTTTGTCTCTGGTCTCAGCGTATTGGCCTTACACTCAATCTCTACGAGTGCCGTAGTATGACATTCCATAGAAAGCGAACTCCTATTATTTCCTTTACACCCTTAGTGGCTCCCCTCTAGAACGTGTTTATTCAGTTAAAGACCTTGGGATCTACCTAGTCCCTTTTCTTTCTTTTGAACAACATATTAATATCACAGTTGGTAGAGCCTTAAAAGTTCTGGGTTTTATAAAGCGCAACACTAGCCTTTTCACGTCCATCACTTATCTCCGTTCTCTCTATTTCTCTCTTGTCCGCTCTATTTTGGAATATGGTATAGTTGTATGGCACCCTTATTTGGCTAAAGACCAGTTACGTTTAGAGTTAGTTCAAAAACGATTTCTGTCCTACGTTGCTTTTCTGTTCAAGATTGATCATCCACCCCATGACTATTCGTCCATCAGTTCTACCTTAAATATCCCTAATCTTGCTTCTCGCCGTTTAGATGCTGACCTCTTATTTATCACCTCTCTTCTTAATGGCACAGTTGATGCCCCTGACCTTCTTTCTTCTACCTTTTTCCGTGTTTCCGTCCATTATATTAAGAATCACTCTCTCTACCTTGTCCCCTCTCACCGTTCCAACTACTCTCATAACCATCCATTGCATAGAATGCTTCGATTACTCAATAACTCCTAGACCCGAACTTATACTTTGAATTTATATACTAACATAAGTTATTTAGTTTTTTAGTTGCTATTGTACCATAGCATGTTATGTTTTTATTTATACTAAATATTTAGTTAGATTTTACTGTAAACTTCTATGTTTACCTTTGTTTTGTTTTTAATCATTACTATTATTGTAATTTTTCTGTATATATCCTATTATTGTAAATCTTTTAATTGCCGATTAGTGTTAAATAAATTAAAAAAAAAAAAAAAAATGTAAGATACACATTTCTCTTCGAACAAGTACAAGAGTTTAAGTACCTGGGATCTACTCTAAATAACCAAAACAACATGCACGGAGAGATAAATATCAGATTGGACGCTGCTAACCGATGCCTTTATGTACTAAGAACCCTCTTTAATATAAACTGTTGTCAAGAAAAAACAAAAGAACATCTATACATAAGTTACATTCGCCCTGTATTGACATATGCATGTGCCACATGGGCAACGACAAAAGGCGATGATGAAAAACTACGTCTATTCGAGAGGAAAATTCTTAGAAAAATGTACGGATCCGTATTCAACAATGCGGAACGGAAATGGGAAATAAGAATCAACACCCAACTATACCAGCTCTACAAAAAAAGAAGATGTGGTACAATTTACCAGAGGGACAAGGATAGAATGGGCAGGCCACGTTTGGCGAGCCGATGGAAGTGTACTGAAAGGAGCATTGACTTATGTGATAAGAGGAAAGAGGCCAAGGGGAAGACCAAGGAAAAAGTGAAAAGCCCAAAAAAAAAAGATACACATTTCAAATTTTTTTAATGTGAATCATTTTATTTAATAATAAAATAACCGTAAAATCGTAAAATAATATATTTGATTTACAAGATAAAACTTGATTAATTAAAAATAAATGGTAATTTAATAAATTTTATAAGATGAAATTTTATAGATGCAAACTTTAATTTATTTTCTTATCGAATATAATATAAGTATGATATATCACCTCGACCCCATATATATGGAATTTTTGAAAATTTTCATCAATATTTAGTATGACATTTGTACAACCATTTTCTGAATTTTTTTCGACCTTGGTTTTCCCGTTATCAAACCAAAACCAATAGGCGAGTCTGAAGTGATGTGGTTTCAAACTCACCCTAATTAAATTTTAATACTTTGGATTTAAAAAAAATATAATATAAAAAAAATATATAAATTAAACTAAAATATTGAATATTAATGTACATTATTTAAAAAAAAAACTTTAATGATTTCTTCTATTTTTAATTAATTTTTTTTTTTTTTGTTTTTAATTTGTTTTATTATACAATCTGTAAACTATTTTTAATTGAAAATAAATACTAGTCATAGGCATTTTTTAACTTAACGTATTTATCACCGAAGGGTTATCCTCAGGGGCATCATCTGTGGGGAGGGGGTAGACTATGGTAAATGCCCCACTCTAAAAAATTTTAAAAAAGTCGGCAATTCTTTGTCCGATGATCAAATGCTAAAATCGGTAAATTGTAAATTTTTATTTACTATTTTGTACTCAGAATCAGATAATATTCTCTTTTAAATACACGTTCACGGTTCATTAAAAGTTGGGAAACACTGGCTCCTCTCCGGTTTATGACAATCGTTATTAGGCGAACCTTATAAACTTTATTTTTGGTATATTATATATTTCTATATATGTGATCTTTATAAAATGGTTATCGTGATATCCATACCATAATAATTTAGCTCATAATCTATAAAAAACCGTCAAATCGTTCCTATTCACCCTAAACTACAGTTCATTATATTTGAGATACAATTTTATGTTTTTATAAATAAGTTCTGCAAAGTATTAAAAATACAAACAATAAAATTATAAGTATTTATTTAATTAGATTTATATTATTATTCCATTAAACCTATTGATAGATAACTTATAGCCTATAGGATAAGTAAATAAATTAATGTCTTACTATGTTATTATTTTAATTGGGCAAATTGAAACGTTTCATGTTCTTTGTTTATCATCATGACATAATTATTCATTACCAGGGCTAGGAACTTAAAGTATTTGCATATTTGTATGGATTGACTTAAATAAAGATTACCTAATGAGGTATAGATGAGAGCAGTGGCGTATTTACGGGGGGGGGTCCAAGGGTACTGGACCCCCCCAGAACCTCTCCAAAAAATAAATAATAAATTAAAATTCTTACATATTTGCAGAATTGGCTATGTTAAACATTCACAGGGAAGTTGAAATTACTATTAATGAAATGATAGAGGAGTTGGCCAAAAAAATCGAGACAACTAGAATTTATTTTATAACAATACTTTATAATATATAATGTTAAATACAATATATAGGTATATTTATATATAATATTACATAAGACTATACGATTATTACATTATATATTTAGTTCAACTTCCTCCAAAAACTGCATAAGGATGTAACTATTACAATATAATACATAGTTTATATTAGTTATGTATAAACTGTGGACCCCCCACCAGAAAAAAATTGAAAATACGCCACTGGATAAGAGTGCATTGTTGCAAACACTGTCTTAGAAGATAAATCTTCTAAGACCGTGGTTGCAAATGTTAGTAGCTTTACAAAAACCATCCTGTTTTTTCCATCCTATCTTTAGAATATATTTTCACTAAACATTTAATGGAACAGCGAAGCGTAATCAAAATGATATAATTTTATAAAAATAATAATAAAAAAAAAAATAATAATAATAAAACAATAATAGTAAAATATTAAAAATGTTTTCAATTATTTTTGTTAAAAAAACTAATCAAATATGTTAATTATTCACATACATAGATTTTAAATTCAAAATATTAAAATATGAATTAGTATAATTATTTTGTTAAATTTAAAATTTGATAGTAACTATAAATAATTTAAAAATAATTAAACTTAAAATTTAAATATGAGTTAATATATTTAATTTTGTGAGTTTTGATTTTCTTGTTATTATCGAATAATCTTTACACTTCTTAAATATTTTACATAAGTGATATAATATATTTATGTTCTACACATTCGTCATTCTCACTGATCAATTTTTTAAAAGTTGAATAAATTAAAAAAACCTGAAGAAATTTCAAAACAAACTCATCTGCAACTATATTATATAGCCATAGCTATCGGTGTCTTATCGCAGTGCAACATGCATATCATTGATTTTATAGTATATAAATATAATATCATTATTTACAAAATCAATGCCTGTTAAACCTGTTTATTACCTATCCGATATAATACCCCTCTTGAATGCAAAGAAAAACAACGTCTAATTTTTTTTTTATGGCGGCCGAATACGCGTAACCGCTGTCAATATACTTATGACTTATAAAATCAATGATATAGGTCTTATAATATTATTATTTCATAAATATAAGTTAGATAAGATATCTGACTGTGGGAGATCCCTATAAGTATTATTTAAATTTGGGATATAAACAGCAAATACAAATCATGACTTTGGAAATTCTGTATGCAATAAACTAGTCAATAGTTAATAGTTGCCGATCATTGATATTGCTTTTCACGCGCCATTCACTTCATTTTACAATTTATAAAAACATGTGGTTTTCACAAAACTATTTTTTTATACTTATTTTTTTAATATTTTCAGGTAATAAATTATTATTTTATAAAATTTACTTTACATTATTTTATATATAGTTTCTAAAATTAAAAAATGTAAATATTTTTATCTTATAGTATTGCAAGTTAATTTTTATGTAAATGGTGCTTCATTATTTTGCTCATCTAAAACGAATGAATCAGAAAATTGTGGTGGTTTAAATGGTATTTTATTTTACTATAAAGTTAATGATGAAATAACTATCATATAATAAAAACTTTTTTTTTAAGATATTGAATATCAAACTCAGCTTAATTTATTATTTGAAGATATTCCACACAAACTCCATATAAAGTTGTTGTCTGGATCTTTAACAGATTTCACCATTGAAGAAATCGTGACACTTCCAATTAATTTTTTATATTTTTTACCTGTAAGTATATAATATATATTTTCATCATATTTTTCAACAATAATATTTTTAGATTTACAAATTGCAAACTTTATCTGGTACTCATTTGGCCACTCTTTTAACCACACATGAAGATGATACATTAATTGCTAAAAAAATTCTCCAATCTATTCAAACTGATCAACAACGCAATGAGTTCTTGAATTTTGTAAGAAAAACATATTATATTTTTATTTATCCGTTTTTATGTTAATATTTTACTTAGTTGATTCCAAAAGTGATAAGAAATTATAAAACACTCGATATCATAGGCGAAACAGTTTATAAATGGAATTATGATGTTAGAGATGGCAAATTTCAAAAGTTATCTAATATATGTGGTTATACTTTAGCCAGACTTTGGGTTCCATATGTGCTGACTAGAACTAAACCAATTAGCACAAGACTGTAAGTACCATAGTTACATTATATAGGTAGGTACATTAAATATTTAATTTATTATCTATATTAATATTGTTACGATTAAAAAAAGATTTTAAAACTTTTATTGATATTCAAACTGCATAAATATAATTTATTATACAAAATATATATATATTTATATCACATATAATAGGTTGACTTTATTGTCTGAAGTAGAACAAAAACAAAACAATAGGATACTGTGCAATAAACATACACATGATGATTGGAGGAATTTACCTAAAAGTATTCGAAAATCATGGTCATATTTGGCAGTTAATCAATCGTATCCCAATGTATTAAGCAGATGGACAGTTGAACAAATAGATCAGTTAGTTCAGAAAATTCAAAAACCCTAATTTTTTTAATATTTTTGGTGCATATTTTCTTGTCTTTTTTAGGTACAAATTTTTATTGCCAGATTTTAATAATAATGAATTAAGTCTTATACCATTTGATGAATTATCTAAAATGGCACTACACGACATTGAATTTGATAATTCTCAAGTAAGATTCTAAATATTTATAAAAATATACCTACCTAATTGGATTTTTAAAATAATAAAAATTAAAATATAATTATTCAATAAGAATATTATTATTATTAATGACTAAAAAATAAAGATAATAATATTATATGATGACCTATTTTTTTTTTCATCTTACTTGCTATACCAGATTTTTATACACTTATGTTTAAAAAAACAGTTACACAGGGGGAACCAGGAGATGGAAGATGGGAATGCATCCCTGGGTGTAAATTTTTAGAGATATAATTTTTGTAGTATATAATCTGTTATTGATTATTTAGAACTCAATAAGTATGATTGTATGTTAATTATAAGAAGAAAAATTGTAGGGAAGGGTATTTGATTCTTGGTCCATGATACAGGTTAACTTAAACATTTTTCCCAGGCGTAAAAATTTTAAGTTCCATCTCTGTAGTTACATTCTTAGTTAATTGTATAAACTTAGAAAATCAACTGTATAACAAATATTTTATAGATAACTAGATTTTTTGTTCAAATGATTTAATGTGGTTTTTCTAGGCTCGATTTTTATTCTCTTTTTTAATGAATAATAGTACTTTAAAAGACATTAAAATACTTTATCCAACATTCTTCTACAAGTTATCGCCATTGCAAATGAATCAATTTGAATCAGAAGACTGGACAAATGAAAAAGCAGCAATATTTTCAATGAATAATACTTATTTAAGTTATACTGCAGCAAAACAGGTAAATACTTCCATTTGATAAAACTTTAAGTATGTTAATTATGTAACATTAAGTTATTATAAAAAATGTTATGTGATTTTTTCTATTTTAAAAATGTTTTCTATTATTTGTTAATAATTAAGTTATTGTAAATGTATCCCCTCTTATCAGCAATGTAAAGTATTATTTTTGTATCGAAACAACCATCCAGGTCTTCATCAATGTCTTTTTTTGCTTGGGAGGGATAGAGTGTATAGTATTATATAAATTTATTTTAGTAAGAAGTTTCCATTGTTTCAAAGATTATTAGAAATTCCCCTTTAAACAAATTTTTTGTCTCAAAGCTCAAAATAAAATTATTCAAATATAGTTAATTTTTATGAAGTCTTAAGTATGGTTATACTTCAGGCCCGTTTACATAATGAAAGTACTGTTGTAAATTATGCTGCAGCTACTGTCACATATGGACAACGATTACACGGCAACAGTGATTACTGTGTATTGTGCAGTAGCGCCGAACTAGGTACTTTTTAATAGGTGGTGCAAACACATATTTCAACCACCCGACCATCTCTGCCTTGATATTATTTGACCATCAATGATCAAAATATTATGTTTAATTAAGTAGGAAATCTACTACCTAATACCAACTGGCTATTAAGTAACAGTTTTTTCAAAATTATATAGACCTAGTATCTACCCACTTTTCAATTTTAGATGGTGCAAATGCTCGACATTAAGTACGTATTCGGCACCACTGGTGTCGTGCAGTGGTTGTTAATTTGTTAATTTTTTATATAACGTTTTTCTTAAAAAACCATGTTAGAAGTTGTATTTTCGATGATAAGAGTAATAGGAGAAATATTATTTTCAGCAGTTTTCAGTAACAGTATCAGAATATATTAATTTATTCTTCATAGAGTAATAGAGTACCTACAACAATGAAAATTGTTTTACCAGGAAAGTTAAAGTTATAAGTTGCTGGTGGACTTTAGGCTACAAGTGATTGTCTTGCATCTCTATAATATCTATATAGAGTACCAAAATGTAAGATCAGTAAATTCCTTTTAGAAGTTTTTGATGCTATTTATGAAGCATTGTCAACTATCTAATCGAGCTTAATTAGTATGACAGCTGACAGTCAACGGTATGATAATGTGGCAGTACTTGTTTACATGATGATAGTTCCTCAAGAATCACTATCATTTCTATTACTGTCTGTTAACTGCTACTGTCACCATGTAAATGGGGCTTTACATAGGGTTGCAATATGTTCCGGAAAGTCGGGATTGTCACCGGTTTTGGACTTTGCGTCCCATTGTCCCTAAAAATGTTTTCGGGACGTTCATATGTCTCATCTTCGATGTTTAGAGGAAATGTATTGTTTAATTTGTAATTTCGACCATTTTATCTCAAAGTACATTTTTAATCATAATCAATTAACAATATTTAATAAAAACATAATTTGTAATTTACACATATAAATATGTAATATATTTTATTTTACAAAATTTTTTTTTAAATGTTATATTGCTGGCCATTAATGGTCCTCTTCAGTGGCGTATACATAACTTTTGTATGGAAGGGATCATTTGCAAAGAAATCATTTTTTTTTTTATACATTTTTAACGCCCTCACACTAAAAACATTATTTTATAACATTTAAAAAAAGTCCTAGGGGGGATTTGACCTCCACATCCCTCCCTGTATACGCCACTGATTCTCTCAATATATTAAAAGTTGTATAAAAAGTATATTACTCGATATTGTGTTTGTGTTTTTCCGGTTTCGCCTTATAAATTTATGGTAACCCTAGTTGTACACATTTGGTCATACACACTGAAATTTCTAAATTTTT